TTTAGAGGATTGTTTCTTCACGTATTTTAATTGTATCCTCCACTGACCATCCAATACAGTTACTTGACATTAGTTGTGAATATATTTTTTCCTTTTAAACTTTTTTTATAATACACTATACATATAAAAGTTATCATCTTTACCATTTTTAAGTGTGAAGTCCAGTGGTAATAACTATATATATTTTTTCCCTTCATCACCCTCCACCTACCTTTCCTGCCCTCTAGTAACTACCATTCTACTCTCTATCTTCATGAGATTCACTTTTTAAGCTCCCATATATGAGTGAGGGCATGCAATATTGGTCCTTCTGTGCTTGGCTTAGTTCACTTAACATAATGGCCTCCAGTTCCATCCATGTTGCTGCAAATGACAGGATTTAATTCTTTTTTATGGCTGAATTATATTCCATTATGTATGTATATTTCTTTATCCATTCACTCATTGATGGGCATTTAGGGTGATTCCATATTTTGGCTATTGTGAATAGTGCTGCAATAAACATGGGAGTGGAGATATTTCTTCCATGTATTGATTTCCTTTATTTTGGATATATACCCACAAGAATTGCTGGATCATATCATAGTTCCAGTTTTACTTTTTTGAGGAACCTCTATTCTGTTCTCCACAGTGGCTGTACTAATTTACATTTCCAGCAGCACTGTATGAGGGTTCCCCTTTGACACCACTTTGTCACCAGCATCTGTTTTTGCCTTTTTTATATAAGCCATTTTAACTGGAGTGAGATGATATCTCATTGTAATTTTGATTTGCATTTTTCTGATGATTAGTGATGTTGTACAGGTTTTCACATCCCAGTTGGCCATTTGTTTGTCTTCTTTTGAGAAATATCTATCGAGATCTTTTGCCAATTTTGAAGTTACATTCTTTGTTGGGTTTTTGTTTTGTTGCTATTGAGTTGTTTGAGCTCCTTATATATTCTGGTTATTAATCCCTTGTCAGATAGAGAGTGTGCAAACGTTTTCTCTCATTATATGGGTTCTCTCTACATTTTGTTGATGTTTTCTTTGCTGTGCAGAAGCTTTTAAGCTTGATGTAATCTCATTTGTCTATTTTTGTTCTGGTTGCCTGTGCTTTTTAGGTCTTACACAAAAAAAATCTTTGTCCAGACCAATATCTTAGAGCATTTACCCAATGTTTTCTTCTAGTAATTTCATAATTTCAGATCTATAATTCATTTTGATTTGGTTTTTGTGTATGGTGAGAAAGTTCTAATTTTATTTTTTTGCATGTAGTTATTAAGTTTTCCCAGCATCATTTATTGACGAGACTGTGTTTTCCCATTGTATGTTCTTTATACCTTTGTCACAGATTAGTTGATTGTGTGTGCATGGATTTATATGTGGATTCTCTATTCTGTTCCATTTGTCTATTTCTATGCCAGGACTGTGCTGTTTTGGTACTATAGCTTTGTAGTAAATTTTGAAGTTAGGTAGTGTGATGCCTCCAGCTTTGTTCTTTTTGCTCAGGACTGCTTTGGCTGTGCAAGGTCTTTTGCGGTTTCTTATAAATTTTAGGAATTTTTCAATTTATGTGAAGAATGTCATTGGTATTTTGATAGGAATTGCATTGAATCTGTAAATTGCTTTAGGTAGTACTGTAATTTTAACAATATTAGTTCTTCCAATACATCATCATGGAATCTCTTTCTGGGTTTTTATGTCCTCTTCAATTTCTTTTATCAGAGTTTTATAGTTTTCCTTGAATAGATATTTTACTTTTTTAGTTAAATTGATTCCTAGGTATTGTATATTTTTGTAGCTATTGTAAAAGGAACTGCTTTCTTGATTTTTACTCAGATTGTTCACTGTTGGCATATATAAATGCTATTGATTTTTGTATGTTGATTTTGCATGCTGCAACTTTACTGATTCAGATCTAACAGCTTTCAGGTGGACTCTTTAGATTTTTCTAGGTGTAAGATCATGTAGTCTGCAAACAAAGTTAATTTGACTTCTTCCTTTCCAGTTTGGATACCCTTTCTTTCTTCCTCTTGCCTGATAGCTCTGGCCAGGACTTCCTGTACTATGTAGAATAACAGTGGTGAGAGGGGTTATCCTTGTCTGTTTCAGTCCTTGGAGGAAAGGCCTTCATTTTTTCTGTGTTCAGTATGATGTTGACTGTAGGTTTGTTATATATGGCCTTTATTATTTTGAAATATGTTCCTTCTATATCCATTTTGGTGAGAATTTTTATCATAAAGGAATGTTGAATTTTATCAAATGCTGTTTCAGCATCTATTGAAATAAGTATACCATTTCTGTTAATGACTTATAATATTTAGATTGTTTTTAAAGACATAGGAAATGGGTTAGATCTCCTAAAGAGGGAAGATGGAAAGAGAATGAAAGAGGGTCCAGAATATAGCCCTGGGGATTTCCAGCACTTATGGTGGAGGGAAAGGAGACATCAGAGGAAACTCAGAGTGGCCAGATAGAAAGGGAGGAAAAAGCTTAATAAGGTGGTATCATGAGAAGAGAGTCTTTCTGGAAGGAGAAATGCTTACTCTTGATAACAACTGAAAAATAGGGTGAGTCCACATTAGAATCCTCGCTACTGGGGAGGACTTTCTACACAAGGTTAGAGATCACTTGTATTTTGTCTACTATAATTTTGTTCCATAATGCATTTTCTGGCACATAGTGGGCACTTGATAAGTATTCATTCAATGACATTTAGTAATTGAGTGCCCAAATATTTATGTCGGGTTGAGAGCTAGGGATAGGCATGAGTCTTTCTTCAACATCCTTCTGATTAGAGAGATAGCAGTATCTTCAGTTTATTTTAAAGCATCATGAAACACACTTTATTCCTGCTAACATTAGGAAAAGCGAGCTGTTTTCTAAGCCTTGGAGGAAGGAAATTCAGCTAACATGTGAGATAATGTAGGGTGGCTATTTCTCGAAAGGTAGTGAATCATAGCTATAACCATAACTGTGGAAAAAAGTCCTGCCTTATCAACCACTCCATTGACTGCTAGTCACTAAAACTATGCTATGAAACAAATTGTGTTGAGTGGCTTTCATTGTAAAAGACTTTGGTGAAGGGAGGGAAAGAAACTGGTAGGGGTTCAGATCAGAAGATCTGGCTTTGCCAGTTTCTGGAGGGTGTCAGAATGGCTTCAATATACCTACGTCCTTGGCCTCAACTGGAGGTTTTGTAGCTGCAAACAAGGATTGCGTAGTTCAGAATAACCACAATGTAAGCTAATTGTGGAACTGGGTTAAAATCAGCATGTAGATCTACTAAGAAACACACTCAGCACTACTGCAGAGAGAAACATCAGAACCATTGTCCACAGGCCCTTCATTTCTGGAAGGCATTTCATTTTTACAATAGATTTATCACACACCATATCGACTTTTTACTGTAAAGAGAAAGTTAATATTCCTCATATTTTGTCTGTTGACAGAGTGAAAATAATTGCATTGGGTTTGGCTAGAATATCCTGTCATTCCAAAAATATCTCAAACTCCACATGGCTAAAACTTAACCCATCAATGCCCCCATCTACATGCTTGCATACATGCATATTACTTCATTTCTCAGTGTTTTTTTCTCTGTGAATGGTATCACCACACACCCAGTCCCCAAATCCAAAACTGCCCTGGGGATTTTCAACAATTACGGTGGAAGAAGCCAGCAGAGGAGACTCAGAGTGCCCAGATAGGAAGGGAGGAGAAAAAAGTTCAATAAAGTGGTGCCCTGAGAGGAGAGTCTTTCAAGAAAGAGAAATACTTCCCCTTGGGCTTATCCTCTATTTATTGTTGCAGGGGCTTCCAAAATTAGGTTTTCTGTGTTCAGTCTTGCGTTCACACTTCTGAAACCCAGAGCTGACACAGACAAATTCCTCAACTTCCTGTCAGCCCCAACATAGATTTAAAATTCCTAACCTGGCTTATGAGGTTCACCATGTATTCCTGCTTCTCTAAGTCAGGCTCATATCACACCAATCTGTGTGTGGGGTGGCTAAATACACTAGCCAGGGAAGCTCTTTCAGTTCTTCTACCTGGCCCCGCTGTAGCCCTCCTTATTGCTCATTCCGTTCTTAGCCTGATTCAAGATTCCTGGTCCTTCACATCTCTCTTTACGTGTCCTCACCTGGAACTTTCTCTAGTTAGTACAAATTTTCTATCTACCATTGGAGCAAACATTTTTTGAAAGTTTGTATCAGTCCTGCCTTACTCTTGGTGGAATCCTGTGGTCCTAGCCAAGTGCCTGCTCCATTAATGTGCTGAATAAGTGAATAAGCATTTTAATTATGTATCTGTCGTTAGTGTCAGATGTGTTATTCCAGCAGGGTTTTAGCACACAGACACACTCTTTGATGCAGACTTTTCCTGTCTTTTCTTTTTACATATAGCAACAATAAAAAAACTAGACCTTCATCTCCTGAAAATATCAGTCTAATAATCACCTATGACTGTCTCTCTGGTTGCTGAAGGGAAAAAAACAAAACAAAACGAAACAAAAACAAAAAAAAATCCAGGGCACACCTGGATTGCGTTAGAATGAAACTCACTACCCAGTTCAGGTGTGTTGCGTCATGGGTCTCCGGCACATTTCAGAGGCTCATTAGGACCCTGACCCCACACTGGAGTTTACACCCCTAATAGCAGGTGTGTCCCGTGGCAACTGAGTGGGTGCGTGAAAAGGGGATAATCAAGAACCAGCTGGAGCAATCAGAATCGGTTAAAGTGAATCAAGTCACAGTGTTTCCTTAACCCAACCTCTCTGTTGGGGTCGGCCACAGCCTATAACCGCCTGCCATTCAACCTGAGCGGCTGCTGCTCGCCTGCTTAGGCACACAGCCCCGGGTGCAGAGGAAGTGTGGGGAGGAAGGAAGTGGGCATAGAAGGGTGCCCAGTGTGGGTCTTGAAGAGAATAGCCATAACGTCTCTGTCACCAAAATGTTCCCCAGGAGCCTTCGGCGAGTTTTTTGGGGTTTTGTTTTTAATTTGTGGCTCTTGATAATTTATCTAGTGGTTGCCTACACCTGAAAAACAAGACAGTGCTTGACTCTCAACCAAAGAACTGGACGGCTCTCCGCCGCAGTCCCAGTCCCCGAGTTTGTGGCTGGCATTTGGGCCACGCCGGGCTGCGTGCTAGAGGCTGGGCGGTCACAGCGAGGGGCACGCGGTTTGGGGCCACACAGCTCCGCTTCTAGGCCCCAACTACTGTTAAAAGGGGAAGCCCGTGCTCCATCTAGGTCCGCTCTTACTGAGTCCAGAGCCATCCCGCGCTCTGCGGGCTGGGAGGTCGGGCCCAGACGCGCGTCCTGCGCAGCCGAGGCTCCCCAGCGCCCCCTGCAGCCGCGCGTAAGGGGAGACGGGGCCCGGCCCTGCGCCTCCGCACCACGCCCGGGACCCCACCCAGCGGCCCGTACCCGGAGAATCAGCGCGAGAACCCGAAGCTCCCGGCGAGCAGCAGAAACCGGGAGTGGGGCCGGGCGAGTGCGCGGCATCCCAGGCCAGCCGAATCGCTCCGCCCGCGGTGGGCCGACTTCCCCTCCTCTTCCCTCCCTCCTTCCTTTCCTGTAGCCCGCCGGCGCCGGACACGCTGCGCCTCATCTCTTGGGGCGTTCTTCCCCGTTGGCCAACCGTCGCATCCCGTGCAACTTTGGGGTAGTGGCCGTTTAGTGTTGAATGTTCCCCACCGACAGCGCATGGCTTGGGAAGCGAGGCGCGAACCTGGTCCCCGAAGGGCCGCCCTCCGGGAGACGGTGATGTTGTTGCTGTGCCTGGGGGTCCCGACCGGCCGCCCCTACAACGTGGACACTGAGAGCGCGCTGCTTTACCAGGGCCCCCCCAACACGCTGTTCGGCTACTCGGTCGTGCTGCACAGCCACGGGGCGAACCGATGGTGAGTAGAGTTGGACCAATGAGCCCTCAGCAGCTCAGAGCGGCGTGAGAACGGCGCCCAAGGGATTCCCTGCCCGGTTCAAACTTTTCTCCCTCCCAAGGAGGCAGGAGGGAAACGCTGCGAGTGCCAGCTCCCTGGAGATCTGCCAGGGAAACTAACTTATCTTGGGGTGGCGGCACCCCGGGTGCGTTCTGGCGCAAGACCTTGGAGCTTCGAGTCGGGGGTGGTGGGCGGAAGAGGAGGTGGGGAAGCTGCCCTGCTGCCAACTGCACATCTGTTCCGACAGGGAGCTCAGTGGGCAGCACAGCTCACGTCTGAGCGCACGTGCACGTGTCTCTTTAGGCTCGTGGTGGGTGCGCCCACTGCCAACTGGCTCGCCAACGCTTCAGTGATCAATCCCGGGGCGATTTACAGATGCAGGATCGGGAAGAATCCCGGCCGGACGTGCGAACAGCTCCAGCTGGGTGAGTTGGATGTGGAACCAGGAGTTAGTGACCTCCCGACCCCCCTTGTGGACCCCACCATAGGGCAAGTCCTGGAAAGATTCAAGTCGCCTGTTACTTCTCGTTTAAAGAGCCTAAAGTTTTCAGTTTCAACTCAGTCTCATCTTCCCTCCTTAATGTAAAAGGGATTCCCTTTCTGTTAATATCGTTCTCCCTTCTCCTTATGGCAATGATTGCAGTACGCTGACCAAAACTATGGTAGAGGGAAATTTCTTATGATACTTTCTTTTCATCTCTCCCCCGTCTCTCCGTGTGTAAAGCACATTTTAGCGTGTCTCAGCATATTAAGGATAGAATCCAGCTAAGCCAAGACTTGAGAATTTTATTTCCATCTTTGTCCTATCAACCTTCTTAAAGAACAGGCTAAAGGGCATATCAGGAATAGCAATTGGAATTGATTCCATATCCCGTCGTTTAGCCTAAAGGTCTAAAGAAAAAAAGTGATAGTTTTACTTAGAATATGCAATGTAAAAGAAAAGGAAAGTTGGCATCTTCATTGTTAATGTAGTATAATTTTCCACTCCCAAAACCATCATCCAAAACTCTCATGTTATATGGGTCCATCTTTTTGCAGTCATTTCTCAATGTCTCAGATTTGTGACAAGTTGAAAAATGTGTACTGATAGAGGGGAGAAGTTTCATGTTTCAGACAAGTTTCTTGCACACAGACAAGTGGGGAAAGAGGAACGAATATTAAATAACAAGACCTATCTTATTCCAAAATGTTACTGCTATACATATTGCTTAATTTTTTCCCCTCAAAGCAACCCTGGGTCATGGTTGACATTGTTCCTAGTTTATGTATGAGGACTGTGGCTCAGAGTTGCAAATACCTTTTTAAAAGTTATGAGCTAGTGAGTGATAGGTGGGAACTAAAGTCACACTAGGGTCTGAATGGGTCCAAAGTCTAAGCCATTTTCTTCCATGTATGCATCTTCAATGCAAATAAAATTAAGTGAATGGATTAATATGTTGCCTGCTGAGCTGGTGGGTCATCTGTAAATGGTGAATAAAATTGGTACTTTATATTTCTTTGCTGTAAAGGGACTTTTGGGATTGGTTATTGGATCTTTAACTTCTTTTGCATTTTATAGTAGTCTTTGCTCTTTTTCAAACAGCGAAGCTGGTTCCTTTCTTTCGAATGAATTCAAATAGAGTATAAACATAATGGAATGTTTACTTTTAACTTCGAACACCTATAAAAGTCCACGAGTTGTCTGTAGCATGTAGAATAAGCCCTAGCCTCTTGTTAAGCATCCTCAATACCAGAAATCACAGTAGGAATGTATAAAACATTCACAGACCCATACATTTGGAATGATTTTGCAAAGCATAATTTTCATTGCGTGAGAGAGTTGTGAGTGAAGAATTAGGGAGTGGAGCTGACAACTTTAATCTGCCGGAGGATCTTGGCAAGGTCTCAGGAGGGAGCAATTTTATTTCTGTTGTCCTGTCATAGTTTCCTGATCCATGACATTATAACTACTGGTATTTAGTGTCTACTTCCTGTCTGGATGGACACGGAATCTATTTCTGGATGTCTGTGTTTAATTGGATACATCATGACATAATATATTAAATTTAAGATGATGCCTGTCCATGGAAGGGAAAAATTGGGCATGTGTAGCATGGGGGTTGACTGTTCTCAGAGAAATGTAAACATGATCGATATGTAATAGGAATTAAATGAAGTTTTTTTTGGATGGATGAATGAATAAAAGTAGTGGGAAAGTTTATTAACCAGATTTATGAGTAAGATAATTGATTAGAAATGAGCCAAACTGATATTTTTAACTTTCAAAATTTTGACCAATCTACAGGGTACTTACTGAGATGAAAGGAAAAAAGACAAGATTCCTGGTCAATCAATGAGTTAAAACATTAACAGCGATAGTAATGCCTTGAGTATTTGCTGAAGAGTTGACTGAAGTTATTTCTCATGTGACGTTCTAAAGAATACAGATATCTTTTATTCTTCATGTAAAGAAACTGCCTCTTTCTATTCAGAATAAATTCAGTGGTAGCTTAAAGGTATAAAATAGGGATTGAGGCTACAGTCTAGAAATAAAACACTGAAAACATTACGTTGGTAATAAACATATTTTAGGATTATTAGGTTTGTGGGCTGTGCACTATTTTGTATGAAGAAGTTTCAAGAGTATGTGTAAATATAGATAAGCCATCTTCTGTAGAAGTGTGTGTGTGTGCGTGCGTGTGTGTGTGTGTGTGTGAATCTTCTGTATAAAATAGCTTCAGTTGTCCTGTTTCAAATGTGGGTGACTCTAATGTTGCGAAAATGCTTAGCTCAGTACTGACACATAATAGACATTCAAAAAACAGCGGTTCTTCTTTATTGTTTACTTAAATCTATTATCTGTATGTTATCTGTAATAAGCAGGTTGAGGTTAATAGGGACAATTAATAAACTGAAACAAAAGTTTAAAAATTAAAAGGTAATACATTAAAAGGTAGAAGTTGAGGCCGGGCACGGTGGCTCAAGCCTGTAATCCCAGCACTTTGGGAGGCCCAGACGGGTGGATCACGAGGTCAGGAGATCGAAACCATTCTGGCTGGCACGGTGAAACCCCGTCTCTACTAAAAATAGCAAAAAATTAGCTGGGTGTGGTGGCAGACGCCTGTAGTCCCAGCTACTCGGGAGGCTGAGGCAGGAGAATGGCGTGAACCCGGGAGGCGGAGCTTGCAGTGAGCCAAGATCGTGCCACTGCACTCCAGCCTGGGCGACAGAGTGAGAGTCCGTCTCAAAAAAAAAAAAAAAAAAAAAAAAAAGGTAGAAGTTGAAATGACACACAATGAGAAATATTTCGTTGGCTGAAGGAAAAAATGTTATAATGACTAAAGATTGATCTATGATTGCCATGTCAGTAAGGTATCTTCTTTCCTTTGGAATAGCTTTACTTGCTATCAAGAATCTGAAGGTGTAGGGTCTTCAAATGGCGCCCATCTCCCATGCAATTAAAAATATCCACATGTACTCGTCTTTGAGTCTCTGTAGAATTTCAGATCAATGGTTAATTCAGATAGACCCCTCCCCTCAAAAGAGGAGGTCCATATCTCCCCCACCCTACCCTCTGTGGACATAGTTGTCCCATACCATGGTATATTCGTGCCACAAGCAGAAATGAGCCTGCTCATTTATCTAGAATGCCCAGGGTGAGAGACGTTAGGCGAGTACAAGGTGCTTTTCTTCCTGGATAGTACCACAAGGTGCTTTTCTTCCTGGATAGTACCACAAGGTGCTTTTCTTCCTGTATATATATTGTTGGCTGCCTCCTACCTCCCTGACTCCCCGAGACATCTCTTCTCTCACTTCTTTTGTACCAGAGGAAAGTCGTGTCTCTGTCAGGAGGGTCTGGGCCCAGACTTGCTCATGAAGACTATGTCTGAGGAGACCCAGGTGATTTCCACAGGTCCACCTTCCACCCGGGTACTCTGCATCATCAGGCTTGTTTAAAGGAAACTTGAATCATAGCTGGTTCTTAAATTAAGGTGTCACAAATAATGACTCAATTAATATAGTTAAGCATAGTCCATCTGTGGACTATCAATATTTAAATAATTAGAACATAATAAAACATAGAAATGATTATCAAATTACACTAAAAAGATGGTCTTTATTTGGTTATTCGAAAAACACTCCAGATCTTTCATTACTTTGGAGTTACCACTGAAAGCATTATACACACACTGACTCTCATTTGGGTAATAGTCTAAAGTTATACAATTACGCTATCCAGTATAGTATCCACTAACCATAAGTGGCTTTGAACACACAAAATGTGGCTAGTCAGCAGTGAGAGAGCTGTAATGTAAATTACATACTGGCTTTTGAATACTTAGTAGAAGACAACTCATTAATTTTCATGATATTAATTATATATTGAAACAAACATTTTAAAATTATTGATTACATAATATTTTGGATTTATTAGGCTAAATAAAATATCAGGTTAAATAAAATTTTATTTTTTTTAATGTGGCTACTATAAAATTTCCAATGGACTTGTATTATATTTCTATTGGACGGCACTGCTGTAGAGAAACATTAAGTTCCCTCTGTAAAATAACACTAACTTTTTAGGAGATACTTTCCTGGTATTTATGTATAAATGAGTAGAACTTTTACTTTCTTTTCCAGACTAAGTGTTCTATAGTTACTGGGCCTTCAAGCTGCCTGCCTGTGCCTCTCTTTCTTACAGAAGAGACCCATCTCAAGTTAGTTACCATTACCCATATTTAGATTTCTTTCTGGAAATTTTATTACCTTAGCCAGCCTCCTGGTTCATATTATATAACCTATTTGAAAGAATTTAATTAGCATTGCATTGTTAAACTAATGATTACCTAATCCTCACTTGTACTTGATTCATAGGAGTTATTAGCTTAACATTAAATAGCAAATATCTCACTGTTGAAATTTCAAATATGTTTTTTCTTGATAACTTTTAATTTTTTCATTTGCAATGTGCTTTAAATTGTATCTTATGAAGTGAGATTGCAGATTGGTCATTTTGAAAAATCATCCTGAACGAAGGCTGTTATACAATTATGTAGAAAATTAAGACGGAGAGCTTCATTAATAAACTATCAGGTTACTGGAAAGAAGTTTCCTTATTTCCAGCAGTTTCCCAAACTTTATCTCCAAAAGGATGAGGTTTCCACCTAATTTGAGAGATGACACTTTCTAAATGCACGTTAGCTTTTGCCCTAAGTTTACTTGGTCACTGAGTGATATACCCAATGACTTGAAAATAGATGCCCTTGGCAACGGTTCTAGGGCCAGATGTGGAAATCCATTGCACACATGGGTGATTTATCCATTCCGTTGTTCATTGAGGAATGCCTAAGGGCCAGAACCTGGGCCTGCAAAAGAAACATACTCCTTGTTGCAAGGGCTTTAAAGTTTATAAGATAGGTTATTATAGGAAAGTATGGTGAGATTT